TTTCGGTTGTCATCTTCTTAGATTACTTAATTCATCAAAAACTAAAACTTTACCTTCTCCACTATTATTGTTTAGATAGTCTTTCAGTATTTTATAAAAAAAAATTTTATGCTTAAATTTATTTTTCATACACGTAAAAGAATACAAACACGTAGTAAAACTAGACGTAAACTTAAACATCCCGTGATTATTCACAAATAGTTTCATATCATTTATCCGATATGAAATAATCTGACAAATAGAATCGTTTAGTATGTCATCTAGCATATCCAACGAATCTGATGTTGTTTCAATAATTTTTTAATTGTGTTGATTTTTAAATCTACACTTTCACATCGATTTATCGTTGAATTTCATAACAGACCATTAAAAATTTGAAAAAAAAATTCATTGGTTTGATTTAGCTAACAACCGATTTACATCGGAGAGCAACGTAGTTGTTTGTAACGATTTTCGGTTCTTATTTTTCAATGAGATCTGAAATTGTTTAAATATGCTTGGATGCAAACGTATTCTCCAGACGATAATTTATTTTGTTCAAGAGCATACACTGCTAGGATAATCTTGCAGTTTTCGATAATGTATATGAACATGAGTATAAGGTATAGTACAAACGTTATGTTACAGTAGAATGTATTAGCTAATGAAATGTTAATTTATTTTTATCATTCGAATTTAGTTGTATTTCAATATTGTTATAATTCTTAAGTGATCAATAATTCATCAACATCATCTTGTTGGTGTACATGGTTTGTGCACGATGTATCAGTGCCGTTGTATGAGCTAAATCAATACATCTGCTAAAAAGAAGACTATACACTGAAATATATCAATTTGCACTATCATAGAAAAAATCGATCTATCAATGAAAGAAGAAGAATTTGCTATGGGATAAAATGATCTTGACTATTTTAAAAGAGCAAGAAAAATATTAAATAAAAATTAATGTGTAGGACTGAAGTGTAATAATCCGACGATGAATCAACATTATTAAAACTGATGGATGTTCTATTTTGTCATTAACAGCAAAATAGTTTTATTCGACTCTAGTTTAATAGTTCTAGCATAATGAAATCTAGCTGCTAGTAAATCTGTTTACACGTCAAGTATTGAACAACTAATTGTTCTGGTAGAACGCTTTTTAAGTTCAAGACAATTAATAAGTAATTGATGAGTTTAGGTATTTATTCATTAGATACTTTAGTACAAGTATTCAACAAAACTCACACTTTATTACTGCCGTTGTTTTGTATATCCTTTTATTACATAAACAGAGCATATTTTCAAAAATATATTCGAATCCTTTGCGACTAAATATTAGCGACTCTCTGACATTTGCAAGATCAAGCTGCTTAACATTTAAAAGTGCTACCGCATACAGCCTATTCGACCATATTTAATGAAAAATATTTTTAAATAATAGAAAAGTAAACGTGAATACTAAATCTTCGCCTAAGTATCCAAAAATTCCTATAAGTTTTAATGTGTAAGCATTCATGCATCTAAAAATCTTCACATGAGTACTAAAATACTCGTGATTTTTTATGAGTACTCGCGATATAGTCCAGCATGAGTCCAGCCACTAAGGTGACTATTCGATTTTTTGAAATAAGAAAAGAGAATATGTGACAGAAGAAAACCAAGCGTGTATCGCTTATTGGAGAAAAGTTTGTTGTTTAAATTGAGACGAGACCGATGAAGGCACAGTGCATGTAAAATCGAAAAGTTCGGTTTTACTTTTTCGTTCTTTACTTTAGCATTATATAGAAGATCAAGAGTGGCAGAAGTCACCCAATAAGAGTTAAAGAGGCAGCCAGAAGTACACTCACATCTCACTTTTACATCGACACTAATATAACCCACAGATGGAATTAGAGAACTGCAGGAAATGTCGGAATACGTAGAGTGCGAGCAAACAAAATTTTTAATTTTTAAGATAAAAACGTTAGATATTCTGTTGAGGGCTGGTTGTTTTTTTTCTTTGTAAGATATGTGATGAAGCACGAACTGCATATATTCTGAATCCGCGATGATAACACGATGAGGATGATGATGTTTGGCAGCTACACTGTAAAAAGCCGCACGTTTTAACCGTGCTAACCTAATGGTTTAAACGTCGATTTTTTTCTATATTCAGTCGCAGATTACATCCGACCTGAGGTTTTTTCCGTCAGGTTGCGCAGCCTGACGAAAAAACGTTGAAAATAGTCATTTTGGCGTTTCGGTAGAACGGTTAAATAAAACGAGCGGTTTTTTTTTATAGTGCACCACTTTTTCATACTATTAAAAATGATCCAATCAGGAAATTTATTTCACAAATTGAGTGTTTGGACATCAGTGATTAGCTGCTTAAATTAAACACAGATTCTTTTAGATGTTAAATTCAGAGACAGTTCACTCCTACAGTGAATTAATTACGTCTAAGAACGACAATTCAAAGAAGGTTGATAGGCATTCGGTAGAACGTAATGGACAGAGCTGTTTTGATTGGTCCATTATCAACCATTTCTATTATAATAACAATTCTTCTTTCATCTCAGGAGCCACTTTTATAAAAAACTTAAGTCTGACTTAAGTCAAAAATCGAACTTAAGTCATAAAAGACAAAGAACTTTTTGGACTTAAGTTTGACTTAAGTCAACTTTTTAACTTAAGTTTTTTTATAAAACTGACTCCAAATTGCAACAAAAAATGTAACGGAGAAAAGGTAAAAGATCAACGTATCCCACATGACGCAGTTATGAATAAGTTTCTTTGATGCATGGAAAAAAGCTTAATAGGTTTGCAAGAAAATATGATGTAATACTAGGTTGGTTTACTTTATGTATATATATATATATGATTGCTCATTGTTTTCTCTGTGGCAAAGTCGCACTTAAATATATTCGAGACACATACTGGCACGATTGTACGGAAAAAAGTGATGTCACAGTAAAAATGTTTTTAGAATATATTAGGACGTGACTTTGCCACCGGCGTTTCTGATAAAAAAATTTTCTAAGCGCACATGTATATTCGTTTTTTCAATCAAAATGCACGTATACACTACACTTTTACACTTAGCTTTCTTTAGAACAATTTAGTAGAGAAACTTTCGATGTAGTTATTAACAAATTTTCATTAAACAGAAAAAGTGCTGGTTGAATCGCTGAATCATTCTCACCACATAACTCTTCATCTGACTATTGTTGTTGCTCGTTACTGGTTTCAAATCTTGTTGACATTGATATATTTTTATTACTTATGTCGTAAAGGCACATGGGCTGGGAACGGTGAGAAAATCAATTCTCTTTTCCTTTGCGCTACTCATTTAATCTTGAAGTTCATACTTATTCTTTAATTCTACCATTCTTAATTGTTGATCATCGTAGTTGAACTCCACTATATCAATATTGTATGAACGAATGACTCGTAAGAAATTTTTAAAAATGCGTGACGCATTACTATTTCTGTCTGTCTCACCTTGATTTATATTATGACAACAAAAATGAGCCTTCAATCAACAGATAAATATCATTTTCTCTGAACTGACCAAAACTTTCTGAAAAAAAGTAAAGTGTACAGTGCATACTTTGTTTTTCTCAGCAAAGTATATAATACCGTGTTTTGAAAATTTTCAAAGTTTACTTACACTTTGTCATTAGAAACGCTGTTTGCTACGGAAAAAAATGTGAAATCATCATTTGAAAGATATGAAAGAGAAACTGATGAGAATGAACAGATTATTTTGCTACATATTGCAACAGTCAGTTTTGATTATTATATTACTCATCATTATTCCTTTGGGTCAAGTGTGTATTTCTTTATTCCTTGAAAAAAAGAAATAATTAGCAAAAAGAAAAGGAGAAGAAAAGTTTAAAAAAATTCAACTACCGCAAAAACGAAAAACTTTTAAATAGTCTGTAGCCGTCGCCGATCGACTTAAAGGTCTGCATCTATTGATATCCAAATAATCTTAAAAAGATCGAGTTCTTTCGGATCGCAGAGATTCAATTTATGATTCGTAGAATAAAAATCATTCGATCATTCTGGTATTTAGCTGATGAGCTGCATAACAAACCTTATTCTTTAGTTTGAACATATTATTGGAATGCGAAAATAATGCTTTGATTTTGATCGGATCATTTGTAGGATTTCACGGTTTAAGTCTTGGATTGTTTTACGTTTCTTAGTAGACAAAAGTCTTGTCTAACAGTAAAATCTGTTTTCAATCTGGATAAAAAACAGCTAAGTGACGAACGTTACATTGAACTAGAGTTATACATGTAATAAATGTCTATTATATAACATCTGCCAAGAAAACAAAAAAGAAACTTTTATTTGATATGTTTTTTATATGAAAAGAAAAGTAGAAATGTATTATATATTCGTTTTTTCGTCTGCAAAATTCTTGAAGTTTTGGAGAGGGTTTTGGTATTCGATTTTAATGGCTATACGATGGTGTAATAGTATATAACTTCTGTATCAAAGCCTATGATGAAATCGCAGGGGTTTTAATTTTTGAAAGTTGAAAATTATCATCTTTACGTATCGTTTATTGTTTTTTTCGAATCGTATAGAATAAAGAGAAATGATGACTTCCTGCATTTTGTTGGTTAGCCTTAAAACAAAATGTCATGTTGTTGTTGTTTCTTTGATTTCTCTTACGACAAGATAAAGACAAGTGAAAAACGTTATGTGAATTTAATATATTTTACTTTCAATTATGTGATCAATAACTGGCCAATAGTTTCTGAGGCTTTTTTCAGAAGATGATTGACAAATCTGTATTTTTTAAATTCTTTTACATAAAATGTTTATTTTAGTAATTTGATTTTGTTTCCTTTCAGATATAAAAAAAATAATGTGTGCTACACCGTCAAATTTCCATCATCAATCGAACAAGTCATATGATCCTACAGCAGTCCCATCTCGGTGGTTAGATTGTCCTAGAAAGTCCGTTCTTATTGCTGGTAACAATTGAGAAAATAAAACCATTTTTAAAGTACAATAGTGTGTACATGTTTATTTTCTTAGACAAATTTCTTGCATTCAAAACACCACTCGATAGTCGTTATAATGAGAAAGTATCTAGTTCCAAGTTGTGGACGTGTAGAATGTTAATTGATTCCGTGAAAAGTCTTCACGTAAGAAATAACAAATAAGAGTAATGTGTTTAGTTTTAATGCTTTACTTTATTTATTCTAGAGAACACTTGGATTAATTATTGATTTGACTAATACCGATAGATTTTATAATAGTGAAACTGAATTTAAACAAAAAAATATCCAATATGAGAAGATAAGATGTCGAGGGTAAGTTGTCAAAACGAATTAAAAAAAACTAACAGATTTTTACTATTCTTTTTCTAGACATGATGAAAGACCAAGTCCTGAGCAAATAACAGAATTCATTGATAAATGTAATAAATTTTGGGAAACACATCCATCAGATATAATTGGTAAAAGTTCTCAAATGGTATATATTACTTATTTATCTTTATAATACTTTTTTTAGGTGTACATTGTACACATGGCTTCAATAGAACAGGATTTTTAATTTGTTCATATCTTTGTCGAGAGCTTGGATATAGGTGACAAAATTATAAATCTTTTCTTTTTTTATATAAAATACTAAACTTATTTATTTCTCTTATACAGTATTGATGCTGCCATTGATTCATTTGCAAAAGCACGGATACCTGGCATTTATAAACAAGATTATTTAGATGAATTATTACAAACATATGGAGATGAAAGTTTTAAAAAAATTCCAGCACCCGCACGGCCAGAATGGTGTTCTAGTAAATGATTTAACAACCTAAAATAAACACTTTGATAGTAATCTTTTTGTCTTTCATTTATATAGCTTACAGTGATGACGAAGATGAACCAAAAGAAAAACGGATAAATGGTCAAACTAAAAGAGTACAAAGGGTCGAACCGACTGCAAAACGATTTAAAGACGACGGAAAAGTGGTATGATGATGTTTTTTACTATTTATATTATTTGTTTAAACAAATCATTTCTATCATAGCTAACAAAAAGCTAGTGGAATGTAATATATATTGAATGAGATATAATTATCTTTCTACTGTTAAGCTCTTGATGCTTTTGTTTTCACTTCCATAACTTATCCTAGTGAAAGTACTCATACTATGAGTACGACCTTACTCTAATTAGTTCATGAGTATTCATATGAGTTCTACTAACAATTTTTGAGTATTGTTACTCAGTAAGTGCTCAGTTACTCATGTGAGTACTCAGAAAATATTCATTCACCATTTTATTTTGCAAAAATGAAACTGTATAAAGAACATAGAAATATTTATATTATTTTTTTTCTCGCTAGTCTCACTGTACATAGTCAGAGATGGACTCGTCTATGACTAGATTTGTAGTTCAACTCTGGCTGTCTGAGATCACTCCTCTATATAGAAATACCAGATGAGCAAATACTCAGGAATATTTTGCCAAAAGTTGTATGATTATTCAACAAAACTCAAGGCTGAGCACCCAAAATCCTACCCACAATACTCATTACTCGCTCATGAGCACTCAGTGGGTAAAAAAATGTGTGAGTACTCTTATGTACTCCTAGCATTTTTCAGCATGAATACGTTTGAGTACATTGAGTCATCATCATCATCATCGATCGGGCTTCTTAGGCTTTTCAGGCATAAAAGGCTCGGCAATCGACATTGAGTAGGCTAACATTTTGCTTCTCTGGTGAGAAAGATAAATCAGCTTACGTTTGACTGAATTGTTTGATCATTTACTGAGAAAAATACTCTGTCTCTTTTCTTTTTCAGATGACAAATCCACAATTTGCTATACCACTGCCTGGCGTTGTACCTGTCTGTCAACAACCATGTCTTGGGAATATTCAACGAAAATGCCACCAAATGTGTGATTATCACAGGTAACATTGTCACTATGTCACCTATTTCTTATCTACTGTGATTGTCTTTTCATCTAGGCAAGGTTTTCCTGGTTCTCAACCCGTTTCAATGGATATAACTAATTATGAAACAATTGTTCAATCTCCCTATATGGTCAGTTGGAAAGCAGATGGAACAAGGTAAACGATTACTCCAATAGTTTTACTTTTTGTCTATCTTCAAATTATTTCATTTTTTAGATATATGATGTTAATTGAAGAACAGGATAAAATTTATATGTTTGATCGTGATAATAACGCATTTCATATTCCTCACCTTCATTTTCCAAAAGATTCTGATTTGAACAGTCATATAACAGATACCTTAGTCGATGGGGTAATAAACATTTCTTGTTCTGTTATTCTGATCAACTCTTCATGAATTTCATCTCATCTTTGTAGGAATTAGTATCAGATAAAGTAAATGGTACAATTGTGCCACGTTATCTTATCTATGATATCGTCACATATGAGGTAAAATTCCTTTTCGAACAAATGAAGAGCTAGTTATTTAGTATTGTGCTGCATTATAGAATCAAAATGTTGCAAAGTTACCATTCAAAGAACGTTTAGATATAATTCATAAATCAATCATTAAACCACGTGAAGAAGCCGCTCAAAAACATATTATTGATAAACAACAAGAATCTTTTAGTATAAGAGAGAAAGGGTTTTGGCCACTAACAGCCTTGCCAAAAGTAATAACTTGAAGCGAAGTTTCTTTTTGAAACAAGAAGTTTTAATATGACTGAAAAGGAGAGATAATCTGGTAGATAAACACGTGAATGGTATAGACATACATTGTCTTTCACGTGTTTACTTATCAGATTATTCTCTTTTTCAGTTGTGTCAAAATTTACTTCTAGTCCTGTTTCACATTTCTTCTACTTATAATTTCTATGATTTATTTTCATCATTTGTTGGTCTTCTTTTATTTCAAGCTTACTAGTGACAAATTTATACAGCAAATTCTTCATGAAGTAGATGGTCTTATTTTTCAACCAATGCAAGATGTAAGTCAATCATATTTTCTTTTGTATTGTAATTCTAATGCAGTTGTCTGTTTGTTCCATCCAATCGAGCTCTTGAATTAAACCCACCAAACTCATTGACAAAGTTCTTATATCTTTAAAACTTCATCGTAAAAGGGAAATTCTATGGTTTATGTATGCCCTAATCATAGAGTTATTCGACAATGTAGAAAATAATGTAGTTAATAATTGTTTACCTTTATATTCTTTGTAGCCATATATACCTGGTCGGTCTGTTCGTGTATTAAAATGGAAAGAACATAATACCGTTGATTTCCGCTTAAAAATTAGTATTGATAAGTCAAAAACTGGGTATGTAGATAGAAGTTTTGACTTTTCTAAATCGTAAGACTGTTTGCTACACCTCAAAAGATTATATGTGAATGTTTTAAAACTCAATCCTGGAATCTTTCATGTAATTCACACTCATTTTTCCACCAAAAATCCACATCTTATAATATAGCGGATAAACGGAGCATTGAGATCAGATTTAAAGATATACTTTTCAACTACTCTCAGATAACGAGAAAATCAAAGATAGTAACATTTTTCTGTGGAAAACTACTTTTCACTTACAATAATTTTTGGGTTTTAGTCAGTTACCGGAGAAGAGTGCTTATTTATATGTTAATGGCCTTCCTGCACCATTTGCACAAATGAAATATTCATCCAGTTTAAAAGAATATGATAATAAAATAGTTGAATGTATATTCAGAGATGGTCAATGGCATTTTCTAAAAGAAAGATTAGATAAATCATTTCCAAATGCAATAGGTAGTTTTATTTTCTAAATAAGAATTTGTCTTAAAATAGAATTTGTTTGACTTAATTTCTTTTTTTGTGTTTTAGAAACAGCTTGTGGTATGATTTAGGAGCAATTGTTTTTCATATTATGAAAAACAAAAAACATAAATATTTACTGGTTAAACCAGTAAATATTTATATTGTCATTCCTCTTGTTCATCTTTTTTTAGGCGCTATTCGTGCAATCCAAGATCCGATAACAAAGGAACGTCTTATTTCTTTAGCCCAAAATGTTCAAGCACAGCAACAACATACTTCTGGACAATATTAATTCATCTTTTATTTTTTTTTATTTATCTGATGTTAAGAAATTTGATGACACACTTTTATATTTGTAAATATAGATCATATATATGTATAGATACATATATATTTATATGTGTAAATTTTCATACGAAAAAGATAACAGTTAGTAACGATTTATGTAAACACTTGTCACCATCTTTTTTGACAAAAGAGATTGCATATTTCTGACCTAAGTACGATGTATTGTATTAACTCAGGCGTCTTCTCCAATTGATTTAATCTGTAATGCAAAAATTGTATTTTTTGTCATCGATCCCTTTATTAGGTAAAAAAAAGTGGCATATAAAATTATAAAAGAATGAGATTCATATTTATTATCGAGAAACAGCTTGAAATAGTTCGTTTTATATCTAATGAGATAATTGAGCATGCGAAAAAACTTCAAGGAGAAAACTTAGAGAGGGCATCTGCCCAACCACATTTTTATTCCTGTATATCTTTCTTTGAAAAGCGAGAAGTTCAACAACGTCCAAAGTTGTGTACATTATGTATCTCAAAGACAAAAATGATAAAACATTATGAAATTAAGACATTTCGACTTAATTTGTTTGGAGTAGAAAAACCAAAGTGCAAAGCGACATCTGAGTGAATTTGATTAAAAAATACTGTAGTTTTTCAATCGTTTACAACTAATCGGAAATCGTCCGTAAAATACATTTTGCTTTTTGGAGTGGACCATTTTTTGCAGATGTTATTTGGATCCAATGTTTTAGACATATATGACTTTTACTATAGTAAAAGTATCACACTTTTGTGTCCCTGGTGATCATGGTGAGCACGTTCATTTTTACCACCATGTGTAACTAAAAAGTGTAGTTTTCAGTGTTTTTAATTATTAGTGGTTCGAGAGCAAAATGAGTTTCCACTTTGAAAATTGATTTCCATGTTGAGAAGAAAGTATCCGTCTTTGCCTTTTCCTTCGTTCCTGACCTACGTAATGAACTGTTACAACATACAATTATTTATTTTTATTCTTGCGTTTGTTTTCTTCTTGTCTAACAGATGTCAACAGCGAAGTTCAACGACTTATATATTATTCTGTAGAGTGACAATCACTCTTCTTCTGTATCTCTTATATAGATCGAAGCATGTTCATATCAACGACAACTCTGGTGCTAACATAATTTAAATATTATGACCAGAGTTGCCAGATGATCCGCATTTTCTGGACAAATTCCGCTTTCTGTAGTTTTTTCGCATGCTCAATTATCTCATTAGATATAAAACGAACTATTTCAAGCTGTTTCTCGATAATAAATATGAATCTCATTCTTTTATAAT